AACATGTACAGTAGTTCCTTGGGTAAATGTCCCCCTTGAACACAAAATTGTTCCAATTTTTGGGGGGGTGGGCTTATATCCAGGGATCTCTTATTCAAGAAAAACCTTTATTAATTAAAACTTTCTGTACAGGGATGGCTTTGTTAGTCTCATTCAAATCTGTACAAGTCAGTTCGCTTATAGTTTGAATGAACCGAGGGAGAAAAACACATCTAGTTTTGAGGCAGCCATTCCAGTGTGGTTCCACAACAATCTGTTTTCAGCTTTCATAATCAAGTTCATGCCCAATAATTGGAGATTCATCCTGTCATCTAATATTTAACCTTCTGGGCATCTTGGACCATTGCGTGGCGTCAATGTTGTCAGTTTATTTTATTTTACTCTTGGCTTACAATTTGAACCATTGCTTTTCTTCCATGTGTTTAATAATTTAATTTATTGTACTTTTAGCCTTCATCTTAATTGGCTTCAGTACTCACAATAATTTCATTCTTAATATGACAATATTGATATTATTCAATTGTTATAATGTGATTATCTTGTTTTGTAGTTTGACACAGAATCTGGTGAAAAAATGGTAAAGTCTTATTCCTACTTCTGCAGTCGGCAGAAAGAAGCAGTGCAAACATACAAAGATTTATTGAAAACAGATCGTAAATTTCAGCTATTTATCAAAGTAAGTATTTTGTGGCTTGAGCTTTGTGTGTATGTAGGTTAATGTATAGTAAGTAGCAATGCTAATCGCATGTGATCCTCTATGCTGTTTGTCTAATTCTCTATGAAGCTTGAGGAGTGGCCAGGAGTTTGTAGTAAAAAATAAATTCCACACCGTTTTTGCAATGATTGAACCAAGGAATTTGGCATTAAAAGGAGAGTGCCCTAATCATCAAACCACGGCACTGTAATAATGTATTCCGAAAACCAAAAGATCCACTGATTAATCTCATATAAGATAGTATAATACATACTCCAAGTATCGAAATGCATGCCATCGTGTCAAGATTCAATATTTCGACATTAATTATGCCATCATCAGGAATGATTCCTGATGATGACATAATTAATATTGAAATATTGAATCCCGACACGATGGCGTGCATTTTGATACTTGGAGTATGTTTTATACTATCATAGTAATGTATTTTGTTGTGAACTGTATTTGAATAGTACTAGCTAAGTAGAATATTTTAAGTTAATGGCACATATCTGCTTTATTGCATTTGTATCTCAAGTCACATAGGGATGTTACAGTGAAGATATAAAAGATCTCAGATAATGTACATTTAAATATTAGGATCTTATCCTTAGCATAGCTGAGGTTATTGTATTCATTCAATATTCGTTCAATTTAAACTTGCACCCATATTTAGTAAGTTTGCTATCAAGTCAGAATTTATATACAAATATTTCTTTTATAGAAATGTAGTAATAACGCTTTATGTCGCCGATGGTCCGTCCCAGAATGCATTTTAAGTGCCATGCACAGGCTTACTAAGTATCCTTTGTTGATACATGCCATCATAAAGCAGACAAAACGTAAGTATATTATATTACATAGCATTATATTATATTATAAATTTAAGAAAGTGGAGGAAAGAGCTGTGAAAATCAAAGCACCGATGTTTAGAATACAATTTTGTCCCTTCGCAATTTGAGCTAAACTGCTCTACTTGGCCATGGTTGTTTCCAATGCAGTACTTTCTTTCGTCAGATTTACTGAACTGAATCTTATATATTCACATCTTAGCCGAGAACATAAAAGATGATGATATTTTTATTGAAAAGTAATATAGAAATGAATTTTCAGTAAATTGCAGAAAGTGAAGCAAAGAAGATCAGGCTTTAGCCTACAGATATTGCACAAGTGATTTTGTTTAATAAAAACACTACAGTTGAACTTGCCTAAGTCGAATCAAAAATGCCATTGAAATATCGTTCGACTTGGATAAAATTTGACTTACAGATTGTTAATTAATGAAAAACACAACAATTTGGCATGTAAAATTAGATTGACTTGGAAATTATTCGACTTAGACAAAGTCGACTTAAGCAAAGTTAACTGTATTCACATTTGGTCTGTGTAGTGAGTGGTTAACGATTTACCACCAAACCTGCAATTGAAATTCTTGAAGTGGTAATAATTTATGTATTCACCCTGTTTGATTTTGCAGCTTCAAAAGCAGATTATCGACCTCTGCAGAAAGCGGTTACTTGTGTCAAGGTAAGATCTTGATTTTAGTTAGTTTTCAGTATGTGCACGCCATTTACAAGGTTGACATTCATAGGTGCAAACAAAATACAAAGGGGGATAGGGAGGTTGTGGTAGGGAAGCATCCAGTGAGTGAAGAGTTCCGAACCTATATTGAAAAAAGACTTGCCCTAAGCAATGATGCTGCTGATGATGTTGGTAATATAATTATGAACCAAAGTTATCCTTCTAATTTTCCTCATTTTTTCTTGATCCAAAATAGAGCATATTAGGCAGGGTTAATGAAGAGGTACAACTGTATGAGCAGAACAAAAAGCTGTGGGATATATACAACAAGGTAGAAGGACGGGCGTATGGTATGATGAAGAATGGGAAAAAGTTTGAGGTACGTACACTGGCAGTTTCCTGCAGATTGCCATTAAGCATATTTTTAATGAAATATAAAAAAAAAAAATAAGAATAAAAAATAAATACAAAATGATAAAGAAATATTCACAGAATTATGATTTAGGTTCAACTAGTTTTAAAGTTTTAATCTAATTCAACTACTGATTTAGAATTTATTAAAAAAAATTATGTCAATTTTTTTTTTAAATCTGTCTTAATTTTTTATCATTAGTGTTCATTAATTTCCAACCGATTTTTAGCCTATCCAAGAGGAAAGCTCCTGAGAGGCATATGATTTAAGGCTAGAATTTCTTCATGATTTTGGGCAAGCCTATTTAATTTTATATTTGTTTATATTTATGAAATCAAAAGAGAAGGCCAGCAAACCTGTAGATTGCCAATAGGCAATTTAACCTCTTTCTCAAGGCTCCAAGGAAGACAATTTGCATTTATTTATTTATTTATTCTGTCTTTACTGCATGCACTTTCAATACTTGTGTATTGTTTTTCAAAGTGGTACAGTTGCATATTAAACAAATATTGAAAAGCAATGCAAGTAACATAAAAATTCCTAAATATATATACAAGAATTAAGAGAGTTTTTAAAAGATAAAATAGTCATGTATGTAATACAAAAAAGTTGCCATGCCGACGGTTATTCCATTGTGGTACAGTAAGGTTATTATGAGTTTGAATATGTGTACATTTAGAATGGGAATCAATATTGAAAGTAAATTTAGAAGATAGATAAGATGGATTATTCCCCTTTTAAACATTTAAGAGTCATTAAGGCTAATTGATCATTCCACCTTACATATGGTCTTTTCCAGGCAGGTGCATTGACTATACTCTTCCGTTTAATGTCGTTCAAAAGCATAGTGTTTCAAAGAATAAAATATTAAAGCATATAGGCATTCTATTCATCTTTCAGAAAAAAGATATAGTTTCCAAAGACCGAAAGTTGAGGTATGAGGGTACTATTCAGTTGAAGTCAGCACGGGGAAAATATACAGAAATAGTTGGTGTACTCCTTACAGATGTTTTCTTGCTACTGGAATTAAACAATCAAAAGTATACGTTCACATCTCAAGACCAAAAGGTATACAGTCGGTATTGACCTTTTTTTTTATAGAATATTTTTTAGAAGACATATAATCTCTATTGTGATTCAAACTCAAGACAGTTCATTAGCTGTAAAAACAGGCTGGTATACTCCTTCTGAGTTTTTCATTAGGACACAAATTTTTGCAGATGTAATGGATGTAATATTTGAAAAATGGAAGATAAGAACAGTCGATGATTGATACTACTTCTAAATATTTCATACCCTTAAAAAAGTAGTACTCAGGACAAGACTCTCTTAGAATCTTCCTTATTATATACACTAACCTTTTTATTCTAGGCCCCTGTTATATCGTTACACAAGATGATGGTAAGGGATGTAGCTACAGACAACAAGAGTATTTACTTAATCAGCACTGCATCCTCAGGCCCAGAGATGTATGAAGTGAAGTGTGAATCAGATGATCGCAAACTGTGGAAGGCAAAAATTGAGGAAGCAGTTAAGGAATGCCCAGCACCTGGTAAGTCTAAACAAAGGAAATTATTTTAAGAAAGTCAAAATTTATTACATTAAACCTCTGTCCAGATTGTCAAATATGCTTTGACAAAAAACTTTTGTATGCCCATATATACAGTATTCATGATGTGCCTATATATGGTCATGATGTTATTCCATTATGACCATATTTAGGCATGTCATAAATAAAATTTGATGCCTGTACAGGGCTTTACAAAGCTTGAACTCCAAACAATGTAGGCCTAATGCAAGCCCTACCCTTGTTGCAAGCCCTAACCTTGTTCATCATCAGGAATTGAAGCAGCGATCTTCATTCATGAAGATTAGAAAATATAGCTTGATGTATAGAATCATGATGACTTGTTTTGATCTTTCTTAAATTTTTGGCATATTCCAGAATCATGCAGTATATAATAATATTCAATAATATTTCTTTAACAGTATCTTACAATAGTGGTTAAGTAAACTATTAGTCTTGGTTTTTCCACATTTGATAAACCTTTTCCATTTTTTTTCAGATGAGGACCTCCAAGTAGAGGAAGTCGATGAACAGATACGATTAGAGGAAGTCAGAGCAAAGACAATAAAGCAGTTTATAAGTAAGACTCTCATTTCTAAATCAAATTATTGTATTTGTGGTTTATTTTGATATTGATTTATCAATGGAACTCTCAATTGCCAATATATTTTTGATACAGGTTTTCAGTTTGCATCAATGGTACTAGAAACACATGCATGCTACATTTTTTTTTATTATGATTTTTTTTTTTTCCATCATCATGAAGTTACTAAGTTTGTAACTTACCAAATATTGTTACTGTGTCTTTACTGATTGTATTTTGATTTTTATTATATTACAGATAATTAATATACTTAGAATGTATATGAGTTTCTTCTATTATTTATTTTATCTTTTTGATATTACTGTTAACAGGTGATTTGCAGAATAAGGACAGCCAAATAAAATCACTTGCCACTGAGAAGACTAACCTGATAATAGAACTTGCTAAAGTTATCCGCAATGACAATGTGAGTAATATTGCATTATACAATATAGAAACTAGGAGATTTTTACAGTGATACACTATTTTTCCCTTCAGCACTTTGTTGCAGGTTTGTAAATGAAATTTGTTTGTTGATGCACTTAAAATGAATTGCAAACATATTTGTGAGGTCTCACCACAAAATGAGTCTCATGGTTAGAAAATCAAAAAAACCAAGTTTATAATACATTTGGATAGACCACATTATAAGCTTTAATTTGGTCTTTGGCTCCCTACGATAAGTAGATCCAGAGTTAAAGTTTCGGTGTATGAGAACCATGTTTTGAGAAAATCGGCTCAAAGATAAACTAACCTGTTCAAATAATAGGACTAGAATTACAGAATATGTGCTGAGAACACTGTGTTGGTAAGAAAATTTACTCAAAAAGTGTATAATCATAAAATATAAGTATCAAGATATTTAAAAACATTAAAATTAAAATTTTGTAAACATTTTGATTTTGACCTGTCTTGGTGAATATTTCAATATGATTTCACAAACAATGCATCTCATTTCATGGTGAGGCCTCACACTTTATATTACTGACAAATTCTCTTCATTTTGTTTTTAGAGCAATCTTCGAGAATCCGAGGAAATGTTATATATGAAATCCAGTGAATTGTTATTAAAGTCTCTTGAAGAAGGTACAGTAATCAGATCATTTTCATTTTCATTGATGAAATGAAAGTTGTTTTTTGAAAGTTAGTACCACCACCAAGTCTAGAGTCATAGGAAGATATGCCAAATATTCTTTGTCTCAATAATTCTTCACAATACATCTCAAATGCTCAATTAATTAATAACTTAGGGAGTTTTTAGTCATGAGAAAAAATGCTAGTGTCTGATAAGAACCTTCAGTTTGCCTGATAATGTAAGATTATAACCTAATTGTTGATCTACTTGTAGTCAGTGGTCTTTTGTTTGTAAAATGAGTATGAAATAAAAATACTGTACTACTAGTATCAATAATCATTGTTAAATTTTGGATTTTGTTTCTGCAGTGACCCATTTAACATCTTCTGTGTGCAGTATAAACTACATGGGGCTAGGTCGTAGTGCAAGCAGCGCTGGTGAACATTTTAGCGGTACTTGTCAGTTACCAGCCTTACCAAAACGAGCCGAAACTTTCAGCGGCTTTGATAGCTCTGTCAAAGACCATGCTACATTTGATTTCGGTAATTCATTCATGTTATTCTATTGTCTGGTGTGTATATTTAATTCATTCATGTTATTCCATTGTCTGGTGTGTATATTTAATTCATTCATGTTATTCCATTGTCTGGTGTGTATATTTTACTGAGGAGGATAGAAATATAGATTGTGAATGAACAATCTCATCTTCACCAGACTGACTTATAAATGAGACCGTGTCGAGTCTATGCTCCCCAACCAAATTCAACCTGCCACTTAATTATTTTTTTAAATATTTGTTGTGATAAATAATAAGAAATATACTATATCAAATATATTTCTGAACAGTGTTTAACACATTTGATGATTCACTTAAGAACGGGTCATGTGACCTTTATGTTGAGTTTTTTATTGTCGTCATTCTTGTGAAATAAGGTAATAAAAATTATTGATTGAAAACATTAATAAATCGCTGTAAGTAATACTGTATCTTCAATTATAACAATGTTGTTTTATGTCTGTCTTTGGTAATGTTTGTCAATTTCAATTATTACTTAACAAAGATATTTTATTATCAGGCCTGCCTGGAACAAATCTACAAAAACGATACTCTCGCAGGAATTCTACATCGGAAAACCGAAGTTCAAGTTCACCAAACCTATCAAAGGAACAGACTCACAGTATGCATAGCCAAGATACAGATAAAGGTGGCTCAGATCCCACACTTAATCCAGACACCAGGTCGCTCGCAGGGATGAAGATGGACAGTCAGGCTAAGTCTCAAATGGGCAGAAGTTTAAGTGATGCAGCAGACTGGAAAGCCATGAAAGAAAGGGTAATTTGACCATCACTCATAAAACAGACACTGCAGTTTTGAATGACCTTTAATCTGTAGTGGATAGAAAGAAGGGTAATTTGACCATCACTCATAAGTAGACCATCACTACCCTTTGAAATAATCTAGTGGATAGAAAAAAGTGTTTGTACACATCCTTAGATGTTCAGAATGCCATTAAATAAAACTGGTTCTTTAAACGTGACCTTGAGTTATATTCTACTGCTATGGCATAGTGTCACCTTCCAATCTAAATTTCTGGGTTCACTCCTGGCAAAAACTGTCAGGATTGTGTTCTCAAAGCCCAAATAATCTCCAGTCCTCAAGCCTCATAATAAAGATTTAGTTTTAGTGAATGAAGGGACAAAATTGATTACCACTGAAATGATCACCCTCATAATATATCAGGTAAGAAGAATTAGTTAATGCAGAATAATGTTTTTCCCCCTTTTATAGGAAAAAATGTTTGCAGCTCTTAGACGTGATCCTAACCAGACCATTGATAGTGATAATTCCCAAGGTAAGATATGAGAGCCCACCTGCATGCAAATTACTATGGAATGTAACATGTTAGTGTAAAAAATATTTATTAATTACTGTACTGTATTTTGAAATTTATATTAAATTTTACTGTGTATCTGTCTATGTACTGTGGCTGATTTAAAATAAAAGGTGAATTGAATTAAATAGAGTTTAATTACATATAGGTAAAATATAGCTATATGTTTATATACATACTATTCTGCAATATTTGAAGCGCAATATTATGCAAACAATTTTACAAGAAAAGCATACAAATAAACAACAGGTTTCTTTATATCTGATACAGATGTAACACATGTTTTCTATTCTCCTTCCACATCAGGTGACCTAAGTTCAAGTATAGACTCTACTCCAGGAGGCACCACACATTTACCTACAAATGAAACAGTAACTGCAACTACTCGGTTAACACAGTATTTAAATAGGCTGTTGGTAAGTCAGTTGAGTTTAATGCATTGTTCATTTTGTCAGACTTGTCGATTCATCTAGTTCTAGAATGTACCAGATCTTATAATATATTGTATTCAATTTAATTTCAGGTATTAACAGCAGATCAGGAAACAGAACTCCAAAGGTAAGATATTTTATTCTAGAAAATTAGATACCGAAAGGTCCACTGATTAATTTCAGATAAGATAGTATAATACATACTCCAAGTATCGAAATGCACGCCATCGTGTCGGGATTGTTAAAAAAAACCCTTGCGGTGATGTACTTGAGTGCTGACAATGACAGAGTGACAATGACGACCCCCCCGGGGCGTGCATTTCGATACTTGGAGTATGTATTATACTATCTTAAAATTAGATACTGTATTACCGTGCATATTTGTAGGGATGGTTTCTGTGATAGACAGGATATATTTGTTCATGAAATTATCTGTGTTTTTAGAATTGTGATTTTACCATGACGATTGTATTCTTGATGTCTTTAATGCCATTTAAAAATTTTTTTCCCTTTGATTTTCTTGTCTTCCTCTTTGCCATTTTACTTTCTGTATTCTTTTGCTATTGACATCTTTGCTGAGATGTCCTCAGGTATCTTGATCAGGTGTCTATACATCTCATATGTTGTTAATTACTTGACTTAAGTTTTAAAATCATTTTCTTGTTCTTATAATTTTGGATAGCTATTTGAATGATTATTTGTTGCATTCGCAGTTTAAACCATCAATTAAGTGATGCCAAAATGAAAATAAATGAACTTACTCAGCACGCAACTACATTAGAAGAAAAACAAGAAGAACAATTAAATACCTGTAGACAGGTGGAATTAGACCAAGAGGAAGTGCATCTCATGCAGCAGAAACTTAGAGAGGTAACAAAAATTTAACCAATTTATATTAAATACAGTAGCCATCAAAGACTAGAACATTTCCATTAAAGATGTAATTTATGGTAGTCAGATTTATATAGTGCTTTAAACCAGAGTCTGGAAGCATAGACTAGCTCGTACAGTAACTTTCTACTCCCCTAAGGGTCTCTTTTGTGTCTTGAGCTACCTAGTAAACTGTTGCCAGCTACTCCAGTCTGTCCACAACATTGGCTGTATGAACCAGTACACAAAGGTAACCCCCTACTCGAAAGATGTACTGGATTCTTTATAGTGCACATGAGCTGATTGTCTACACTGGGTCTGACTTGTTCCACCACCAGAACCATAGGCAAGCATGCTGCTCGAACTAGCGCCAGTATTATGGGTGTGTGTCACACCCCTGCCTTAACCACTCGGCCCATCGATTCGCCTACTATCTGTACCACTATCTGCTCTACTGAAAAATAAAGCTCAATATTTGAAATGCTTACATTGTATTTCCATTGCGGTTTGGTTTCCCAACCTGAGGTCGGGGTCCCAATCTTTCGCTGTGCATTTCGCTTGTGTCTTTGAGCAAGGCAATTTTTCTACATTGCTTCAGTTAACCCAGCTGTATCAGTGGGTACCAGCAAATTGTTTGGTGTAACCTGCAGTGAACCTCCGTCCCACCCAGGGGGAGCCTAACGCTCTCTTCTGCTTCACGCTGCTTGAAACCGGGTATAATCTCCAGTATATATGAGCCCCGTGGCTCAGCAAGGATTTAATTTACATTCTATATTTGTATATCATATGTGATTACAAATTAAATTTAATCATATTTGGTGACATTTTTTTCAGGAACGACAAGAATTTGAAGAAGAGAAGGAAAAACTACAGACTGAAATTGAAAATCAAAACTTATTATTTACCTCTCAACAACAGCTGCTAGTTAAAGAAACAACAGAAAAAGAACGACTTCAAAAACAAATAGAAACAATGGAACTTCAATTAAAAGATTTGAAAGAACAGGTGAAAAGCTCAAAGAACATAAAAGAAGAGCGAGGAGACAAATGGAAACTCGCCAAAGAAAATAATAATCAGTCAAATAACTCAGGTCGTAAACCACGTTCGTATTCTGACATGTCTCTTCGCGATGTTGTTGAGGGGTCAGAAAAGAGTAGTTTGTCTTCCGATTCAGAAGGGGGAAGCAGTCGACGAAACAGGAATGATAAAGCTGTACCTATACACTTATTAAGTGCCACAAATGAGTTAGACACTTCCAGTGATATTAAGCAGAAACTCCCGTTTAAGTTGTCATCTCTCTCTTCCTCTACAACATCTTTGCAAGGGAAGCGACACTCTTCATCGTCGTCTATAGGAACATCTAGTTCAGTGCCACCGTCCTCCGGGTCGGCATTATCTTCGTTGTCCAGCAAACGACACCTTTCTTCTTCGTCAATAGGCTTGACAAATACAACCCAAATGTTGCCCATGAAACTGGCAAATTTATCTAGCACAGCAAGTGAAAAGAAAAGCAATCATCGTAAGTCAAAAAAAGACTATTCCTCCCTTGAGAATAATGGAAAAGCACAAGCTAAACACCAAGGGGAACAACAACAACAAGATGTCATATACTTCTGAGCTCCCCAGGTAAGCTAGCTCAAAGTTAAGCAATTGATTCCTAGTATGGAATACAATTACTGTTCATTTTAATATGAATGTCATTTCAAACCATAATGAATTTTAATTATGTCTTGCATTTAAATATTAATATTATTTGTATTTGTTTCTATTATGAAAATAGTCTTATAAGGTGTTATTGTCTTTTTGAGTAACCTTTGGTATGCTCAACTTGTCAGGAGTGTGTGATTATATTTCATTACATTTAATTGCTAATGCTAAATTCAAATATAAAACATTACATTAATAATCAAACATAAACATTGGAAAGAAATATACAGGCAAGAGGTAACATAGGCTAAAGCAAACTGTATCAGAGAAACAAAAAGCCTAGTTACCCATTTCGCAGCACGTCCTGTATTTGATTGAGAACTTGCATTAATATATGAATAATAAATATATATACATTGTCATGTATGCAAATATTGACTTTTATTTGTTCATTATATTATATACTATGAATATATTTTATATTTTAAAATAAACATTTTAAAAATAACAGAACTAGGTGATCTCCAGATTATGAATAGCATCTATTAAAGCCTGTTTTTCACTAGGCAAATTTATTTGCACGAATCAAAAGCGTCGGTTCACTTCCTGAGCTCTGATTGGTTGTGCATTTTTTCGCTTCGCAAAAAGTAGAAACAGTTTGAACTACTGATTACGGTGAAGCAGAAAACTTCGATAGAAATGTGAACCAACGCTCTCAATTCTCATGAATAATGTCACCTAGTGGAAAGCAAACTTTAAGCATTCTAAATGTAGAATTTCTGTTCAACATTTTCATTGTGATCCTCAGGTTCATTGAATTAATTTTTTATCCAATTATCTGTTTATTTTATCTCCTATAGGTCCTTCATAATATTTGAATAGCAATGAATGAACAGTTATTCTACCCTGTGGATAAACAGACCAATCAGTATGCAGATGTTTGATAAACAGACCAATCAGTTATAGATGTTTGAAAAACAGACCAATCAAGATGAAAACAAAAATGCTTTCAAAAAAACGCCGTAATGTAATTTGTGTATGTTCCGTGTTCTAGTAATCATGTGATGTTGCTGAAGTTTTCATTAGCTTCTGCATACTAGATTTCTGAACGAAACAGAAATTATATTTAAACAAAAATTTAAACAGAAAGCAAAACTAAAATCAGTGTTGGCAAAAAATGTGTTACAAGATGCTGGATATATATGCGACTGGAGTTTTAGAGTTGAGATGATAAGCCTTGTTTTTTACACACACACAAACAGACACACACTGCCTAATAATTTGGACGTTGTAGCCAAAACCAGCGTACTGTCACTAAATGTAATTTGCATAAATCTAATTTGCATAAAGAATGTGGCTCTACTGTATATTTGAGTACAGAGAAGCCACAATACTTTTACTCTTAATTCCTGTAAATGACCCATCATTTTAAAGCTTATAATGTGAAGAATAAAAAGAATACATTATTAAGAAGTCAATTTTTATTTTTTTGGTCACTAATGCTGGTTTTCGGAGGGCAAGCCACATATGTTATTTGTTATTGTACTTCCAGAAGGAAAAGAAATTATTGATCGATGATTATTTATAGAATCAGTGACTGGCTCAAAATGTGGGAATTAGTGATAGCCTTTAATTGCATCATTGATATTTGAAATGGAGGTTGGATAATTAGGCTGCTCAAGTATGGAAGGTGTTAGTGATTGCTTTTTGTTGTGCAAAATGTGAGAGCTCATCTTGGCTTCTACCTAGGTCTAATGTAAGGTGAAAGAAATTAGCTTGTGCTATATTTATTCTGCAACATGTGAAAGAAAGACAAGATATTTTAAAATTTATATAAGGTGTTGAGATGATCAACATATGATTATGTTTAAATAACAGAATAAATGTAACGCTAAATAAAGAGAGGCCATGATCTCAGTGTTCTGACCTTTGGTGGGGGTCATCTTCAGGAATGAAACAAAAGTATATTGAATTCAAGAATGACTTTTGGGACAGAGTTTATAAGTAAAGTACAAAATAGATTGTATTTATGAAAACTGATCATTTGTTGGGCTTCTGTCATGTTTTTTTTTATGTTTCATATGCCTTTAGTGGACATAGTCTGTAGTGTCAACATTGAAGGGTCAAGAGTTCAATAATAGAGTACTAACAGGGCGAGATATGTACGAGAATACAACCATGGCCATGTAATGGCCAGAGTGACCATCATAGTAGTAGATAGTTAATGAGAAACTAGGCAAATTTTGTGGCCCAAAAGTTTGAATTTAGTCTAAAACTTTTGAATGCCTGTGTTGGTATTTTTAGAACTATGATACACATTTTGTGATGGTCATTTTGAATGGTCATGCACTTTGAATGAATGGTCATGCACTTTGAAATGGTCATTGACCAGGTGAAATAAGATAAAACTTCAAATTTCTTAGCATTGGAATCATTGAAGTTAGCACTATAGTTTACATGGATTAACTCTATCTCAAAAAATGCCTCTGAGTAACTTTATTTTTGAATAATTGATAACACAGTCATCAATCATTGTGATTCCCTCCTGTATTAGTCACTTTTTCCTATGCAGATAATAACAGCATTCCATCGCTTACTGAAGCAATATATTCTACTAATAATTTTAAACATTTTTCATTAAAAAAAATAGCTTTCATCCCAAAAAATAGAGATAGTTGTTCTATTATTTCTGAAGATTAATTATTTTCGATATTTTATAGTTGAAGATTTGTAAATTTGTTTATCACCGGCCAGTGGAATTATTTTTGTAATGCTAAATCAATAACTTGTGTAGGTCTTCTTTTTTTAAGCATTCAGAAAACTTAACAAATAAATGTTGAGAGATTTTCTGAGAATTTCTCATCTCTCTTAACAGAGTCTTTGACAACTGACCAAACAGCAACTTGGTGACTAGGACATTTGTATAGGCTTATATTTAAGCTGGGCACACACTCGTTAGCTGACAAATTTATATCCACTCGGTATTGGTACTTGGTGACACAACCCCATCTAATGCTTGTCAGTGGCAGTCTGTTAAAATCGGTCTATCGCACACACGATGTCACATTGTTGTAGGTATGAAATGGCGTCGATTGATGGAGTGTGTGCCCAGCTTGAAGTGTTCTCATTACTGTAGTTACTGGACAGTATGTTTTGTTTTTATGCAAATGTAAGAAGACATTTTAAATATATTTAAATTTTCACCAAAAACTGGAGCTTATTCCATTGAACAATTAACTGGTCATAAACTTGGTGCATATACATAATGAGGACATTAGAAGAGATAAATAATTAAAATTGGAAATGGTTAGAATGAGGGCGTTTGTGAGATAGATAATTATTGGTATTGCAAGTGTATACAAATAATGAATGGTTATGAGATAAACTTTAACCATCTTGTGGCAATGCTTTATGAAAATATATAAATTGTAAACGGTAAAGAAGAATCTGTGAGTGTGAAAAAATCGTCCCCAACCAGGGTTCAACTTTAACCAACTTTTAACCAACTGGGCCACCGGAACATTCGTTGGAAGTTTGAATCCAATTGGAAGGATTTGATTTCACACTTCATTATATGCGGACACAACACTAGTATTTGACGAACACATAGTTTATTGTGATACACCCTCTTCATTTTTCATTTTAAGCATTTAAGCAGTTTTTGTATATTTTCCAAATCTGTACCACCTTGTTTATTGTGTACTTACATACTGTCTCTTATACACATCTAGATGTGTATAAGAGACAGGTGTATGGTAGCGCTTGTCGCCCCGTTGTATTTGAAAAAAGAATTTTTAGTCTTAGTTTTTTTAAAGATAAATTATTCCATGTTAGCAAACAATTTGTTGGTTAAGATACTTGCCTTCCAATCTTCCCTGGATCAAATCCTCTCAGACTTGTGACAACTCAACTCTCTAAACCTCATAAAGAGATACAGTTTATCCATTTACATGATGTATTTTGAACGTGGAGATTTCTTATTAAAATCGGGGATTCAAGATTATTTTATACAAAATGTACTGATTTAAACATTAGGGAATTTTTCACTTGGATCTAAGTATGTGATTCATGGCTTAGAGGCCTTGTTAGCATGAAGTTTTATATAAGTCTAACATATTATTTTTACTGTATTATTATTTAGACATTTCATTTACCTTAAATATCAGGATGAATACAATGTTTTCTAATTATCATTAAATTATTTTTAATGCACATTCTGCTAAAGTGATCCTATAATATTTAAATTCTTTTTAAATTCCCAAACATTCATTAGTTTTCAAAACCATATATCTATACACCACTGAAATTATCATAGCTAACTCAGCAACAAAAGTAGTTATTTTTGCTGTCAGAGGAAAAAAATGGGACAAAAATGAAAGGCATTAAGGCTACCTCCCTACAGATAATTGATACTAAAAATGTAGACATACTAGATAAAACCGGATCATTACTGGAAAATATCAAGACTCGAATTCCAAAATGTTAGTTGTGAACCTGACAACTTCCATAATTACCAAATAAACCTACAAAAAATAGTAGCATTGAGATAAGGAAGTCACTTTACATGTCACGGTTCAAAAAGACTTAAGCCACAATCTGTATATCTATTTTTGTAATTCTTAATTTGCTTTTGTGCTATTGGAATTTACTTTTTTTTCCAGCACATAAATTTAAGAAATGCATGTAGAGATGTTTGTGTGCCTTGTACAGTGTTGCTCGGATCACTCGGTGAAATGTAACTATAGTCATGTGACTGTTAATAATTATTGACAGCAGGCTGTCATGTGATTGGCTGCTGCAGGTGTCAGCTTAATTGTAATTGGATGGTAATTATTCACGCTTGTATATATACTGTACCTACAGTGAATGTGTAAGTAACATGTCCATCGTTAGGGGATTTGGTACCTGTTATAGAGAATGGACTAAATGAGCTGATTGGCTGCTGTAAATGAAACACGTTTTGTGATTGGCCAAATGTTTAATGTTGGTACATGTGGGCGAAAATATTTTCTATCAAAGAAAATATGTGAAGAAATCATGTGAAAGAAAAATCTGTGTTTCTTACACATTTGGAAGTTTAGTAATTTGATTACTGACAATGGCTTATTGTTAATTACTTGGTCTATCACAACACATCAAGAGGTGAGACTGTTGATGATAGCATTCGATGTTACTGTACAGTACATGATATTAATTATGTATTATTGTACCATATGATTTAGTATTGTATTTTATTAATTTATTTTTGAAACTTTATTTTATATGATTATTAGTGAAAATGAAAAACATGTGAATGATGAGATACCAAAGTGGGGAGGGTATGTGTCACGTGTGGTCTGCTGTGTCTAGAATCACAGTCAGGTATTTTACAATCATCTTCACTTTTTGGTTCGTTTTAACTGACACATGTCGTGCTAATATAAGTATGTATTTTTTGTCTTTATATGTTTACACTGCATCTGTAAATAGCGAGTATAGTATTAATTAAACGAAACAATTGATTAAGACAAATGCTTGTAGTGTTCTTGTGTATTATGTGTCATGAATTGTACATATGTATAGCATCTTTATTACCATTTGATTTTGCAACATTGGAGTTTAAAACTGAAGACGCATTGGTGTAACAAGAGAAAACAAGATAAACATCAACATCCTAATACCTACAGGTCTGTTGAAGACCTAGCCAGTTTGGATTCGAAAAATTATCTGCAGTGCAGTCTTGTCAATTTTTCGAAAAAAAACTATAGTTTTTTTTAAAAGAAAAACGTATTGTCTCCGTTGGGATTTGAATCTATGACCTTCCGATTACCGTTCGGAATCGGATACTCTACCAACTGACTATAAGCCAAAATGGTATGGTATATACCAATTTTCCCATTAGGACACGTTCATTTTTTCAAGGTACAGTATTGCATAATATGCAATGGATCTTAATAAAGCCACATCGGACTTTGGTTTGGAGAAACACCTCCACTGGTGATAAGAATAATAATAAATGTTGAGTGAAAACCACCTAAGCCTAGATAAAAAGGCGTTCAACGGTGCAGAAAGAATAATCTCGTTTAGTGAGGGGCATGACATTGTTGTCTGAAATCTGGGAACCCAGAAATGTCAGGCTCTCGAATGGTACCTTTGATTGTCTTAACTGGTTTATGACCTAGTTTTTTTTTTTCTAAAATCGGTTTTTGATTTGATGATACAATCCATTAATTTCGTAATGAATCAATTAGGCCTATGTAAGCTCGTTCCGACTTTTCGTTCATCTGTGTTTTTATTGGCCTTTTTTATCTTTCCTTTTTATCTTTTCAGCTTGTCTTTTTTGTTTTAATGTTAATATTGTGCTGGTTCAGCATTTTAATTTAATCGAATTAAAAACGGACCATACAGAGGATAATCATACAGATGTACAGTTAAAATTGATTATACCGTGCAACTCGTTTTCCCAAAATAATTTAAACAATAGAAATTAGAAATACTCCTAAAAACATCGACGGAATGAAAAAAAGCAAACTTCTCAGTCACTGTTACGTTAGTGCATGGAGTAAATATATGGTTAGTGGTGGCTCCAGAAACTTGCCGACAGGGGTCCGACACAATAGGCTTATTCGACTGGTGACATTTCGTTGAGTACGAATTTTCGTTGAGTATTATTTTCATTCGACTGGTTCGTAAAACTATGGTAAAACAGACTTCGTTGACAACGAAAATGAACGTAACCAGAATGCGTTAATCAGCGTTAAGTTATGCACGTGACCAAAAAAATATGGCCGATTGGTCAGTTTAGCAACAACATTTGCGTATAATTTAGATTAAATATCAGAAAATGAAAATTATAATATTTACCCACATTATTTTACCACATTGTAGGCTAACAGAATTCAAAAACTGGATGAAAACAGTTTTTTACGGGAAAAACCCATACTGCCACAAATCCGAAGCAGCCTTGATTACGCAGCGTGTATCGCGGTAACTATGCAGCCATTTTGTTTTGTCGAGTATTTACCAGTTTAACAATGAACGACCAGTCGAATACGGCCATAGTATTGGCAATTAAAATGACGTTATTTGGATAGACAGGCAAATTAATACTTTTTGTCCAACTTCCCCGTCGGACGACTGGAGGGGAGGTGGCCACCTCTACTAGTGCCACCACTGGTTGCTGTAGGGAAGTTTCTCCATTCATTTTGGAAACAGAAATATGAATTAAAAGTCATTCATTGTACCAAAAATGCCATTCGACTTGACGACTTGTCAAGATAATTTATGTTGTCAAGTCGACATAATATACATATCATCTCGACATGGCGAGATAGATTATCTTGACAAGTCGTCATAGTAAAAATTGTATGTTGTCATGGCTGAGCTGTCCTTAGAGCATTTTCTCTGTAATCGTTTACCGCGTAGCTGTCAACCCATTCGACCGACCAATCAACGTAATGGAATCCGGTCTTTAAGCAGCGGCAGTGCCGACAGCGGTGCGGCATAACATAAGGTGGGAAAAGCCAGTGCACTTGAATTGTGGGCGTAAATAAAATGACAATGTAGGTTGGCCCATGGAGGTATTATAGTTCACTATACTAGAAATTGCAAATTGCAAGTGAAGTGCTGCGAAGTACAACTGCATATAAATGTTCTTCGAACAAAATTATTTATGCAAGTCAAGTGAAAATAATGAATAATAAAACTATAACAAATAATATGAGACACGACCCATTGTCTATATTAGAACACTTCTCATTGCGTAACAAAGTGGTAATTTTTCATTTTTGTCAAAAAGTGTCAATGGTGAATTATGGTTTAGGTTTTTTTTAAATAAAGTTTCAAAAATTTCTATGTATGTGGAAGATGTAGTTGATTACAAAGGTTACAATTTTTATTTTGAAGACTGCATGGTCTAGGAAGTGTACATTTTTTTATGGGGCAAATTTCCAAGGGCGGGTTTTCTAGGAGCGAGTTGACTGCCAAAGAGTGTTGCCAAAGTGCGAGCCAGCGTGTTATTTGATCACAAGTGCGAGACATATCACAAGTTTGAGCCAGCGAGCCATGACGTCACGACAATAGATAGAGACGTTAGCCAGTTGTGCGAGGTATCGGCTGAGATTTGTGGAGTACAATTCAAAAAAACAACTATAGGTTTAATAATGAATTATTGTGATGTTAAATAGACAATGTTAGCTATCAAACAGCGACGTTGTTTTTCAATAGGACCTTCGTCCCTTCAAGGCTAGGGCTATACCATCCTAGCTAGTCTAGGCCTAGAGTAGGATAAGGCTAGCGCGACATGTGGACGTTGGTACGAGTAGGTTAGTCTACAAACGTCGCCTAAAGTAATTGATTTTACCCGGCAGAACGAAAGAAGGAAACTCCGCTTTTCTTATGCACTCGTTTTTTGACAAACAATGACCTTTCAGAGGTCAAATTGCTGTCAAGAATATGAATTGGCTGCTTCGCAGCAAATACCTCCATGGTTGGCCGAAAGCATATAAAAAGCATGTTTATCAAGCCTGTTTATCCCTCTCTAGATCTGCGCGCCCACTTTCTCCCCTCCCCCGCATAAATTTACAAAAACATTTATTTGCACATAAAACAATCTGATGAACATAAAAACCTGATGAATAAACATTATCAGTTAAGACATTGTGATTGCTCTTCTTTTGAGACAACGTTCAATAAACTTTGTAGGGCCTACATGGAGAGTTGATAGACAAGTACCGGTAATGAACTCTCGGTGAACGACAGAACAGTCATCAAAGTATAATTGTATTGTGAAATGTATATTTGATTTCGAACATAGGCTTACTATATTTTATTGAGTTTAATAACCGTCATGTTAATCTGTTGTTTTTAAAGCATTTGTAGTCTGGCCAATTTCAAGTACCTGCTTGATTTGTATATTTTCCTCTTGTATTGTATTTACCTCGGATATTAAATAAATTTAAAAAAATAAAAATTAATTTTAAAATGACATGCTTCTCCTCGTTGCTGAAGAACAGCAGACCACTTTAGTTTTAAAAGGTTTGAGTTCTTGTAGGACGACTTCTTTGTAAGGGAAGTTTATATTTGTTTATGCCAATGATCCTTTTTCCAGTAGAGCAAAACATAAAATTTATTTTATATATTTTTCTAACCCATCCACTCTGAACACACCAAAGTCTGAACTCTCCATCAATGACGATATCAGTCGTTACTGTTGGTCCAACATGCAAATTAGAAGACGAATTATTTAATCTTATGTAACAAGGCAGTTTCTGGCAATAGTGTGTGACATGGAATTGCCGAAACCGTTCGTGAAATTTAGTAAATCGGGATCATTTCGATGAAGTTAAATCGCGATGGAAAGGAAGGTAGGTTTACTTATGTAGTTGAAAGTGATTAGGTCTTGATTTACATGTTTTATGCGATGGAGAATCGCAAAACCGCGGTAGTCCTATACTTTCAGTTTTTCCAGTGAAAGTTTGTTTAAATCTGGTCCTCTCACGATACAATTTCCTGTCATTGCCTATTGGCCTATTGACTAAATAAGGTTGTATATATCTCATTTTTAGATTTGTCATGGCAATCAAATAATAAAAATAATACAATATATACCTTCCACATTAGATTTTCGCGGGTATGAATATTACAAACAGATAAGAAATAAGCTCTACCAAGCATTCACAGTGACATACCAGACTTATTATTGACTATTGCGCATTGCATAACATAATGGAAGTTCGACCGTAGAGGGCGATATATCTAAACATGGGCGCCGAATTTCGGGAGACAAGAGTCCGTGTGTACTCTGTCGTCTTGAAAATAAACTCATATAGCCTACATATCAGTTGTGTTTGATCATGAAAGTTCGAAAAATGCCGTAATTTTTTGCCAAATCGTCTGAGAAGAAAGATAACAATGACTACACAGGTAAGAAAACGTCACAGTGAGTATGTGATAGCGGAATCCCTAAGAAAAGTCAACTCCAGCATGCCAGGCTAGACACTCCTGGACTCGTCAACTGAGACGGCGGCGACTGTTTCAGTAGGGAATGTCTGAAAGTGGCTTATGATTTATATTGTTACACAGGAAAGTGGAAGCTGAAATAACACATTAAGTTACTATGGGATAAGCTAGGTATGGCCTAGACCCTTGGTATTCTATTAATTATTATTGTTTAATAATAAATGTACGTACGTCAAGCAGAACTATCGTTTGATTACCATTTCAGTTTTGGCCCTTTTTAGAGTTAGAGGCCCTAGTGCTAGCCTAGGCTAGTTGGCTAAAATAATATTTGGAAACAATCAAATCAAATCTTTAAGGGCCCAGGCCTAGCCTACGCATTCCTTGTATTTATAAGCCTAGTAGGAATAGGCTAGGCATATGATTGTTAAAATGTAGACTAGTTAAATCATTAGCAGTAAAACTGTTAAGTTGATTGAAGCTGACACTGACAGTCATTCAACTAACATAGGCTAGACCTAGTAGAAAGTAAGGACTTGATTTAAACAAGCAAATTATATTTGTAATTAAATTATGTTGTAATTGTATTTGTAGGCTCTAAATTAACGATTTATATTTGTAAATGGCAGTAACTGTAATTGTTATTCAAAATAAATTGAGGGGTTTAGCCAGAAAAAAGAAATAGGCTGTCCAAAATGGAAGACGATCACTTGTCGCGTACCGACAAGTGGTGGCATTTGCTAAAGGTAGACCGGGCCCAACTAGGTTAGGTCTGAGCTGAGTAAGCCAAATGGCCGTCATAAATAATTGTTGGCCGCCCAAAAGACGGCCGGACAGCTCGCTGGCTAAGCCCTTGTTCACCATAGAAATTAAAATTTTATTTACATATCTAGGTGTCAGAAGGTGCACAAATCATCAATGTAGTATAAGTATTGTGACAAGACTATCAACAGTACAGTAATAATATCATTATCCCCACTATTCACCATTTGCCTATAGTTCAAAACCCACTTTCTTAAAGCGAGTGGAAATAATAAAATTACGAATGACTAAGGTAAGATAAATCATTATTTTTATGAAAGTAGGTATGTTTAATTTTAAATTGTTAACCTAAAAATCAATAAAATACATCTTCTATACATAAAGCTATAGGCCTCTTCCCTTGAACCCACTCTTCCCTTGAACCCACCAGGGCTTTTCCCTTGGCTCCCAGGTAAAGCTTGAGCCTCGGCCGTATGCAAATTGTTAGCTCAAAATAGCAAATCTTTAATAAGTAATTCGTTCATAACTCGCACAGACTGTTGTTCGCATAAGTGGATCTTTTTTTCTGCTCAAACTAGCATCTGCTCGAAGTAAATTCCGCTTGATTCCACTCAAAGTGACATCTGCTCAAGTTGACTGGTTCCCATTTTGAACATATTAAAAAATACTACCATTGATCCTTGCATTTAAGCCCACCCCCTACTTTACCCCCCAATTTACATCCAGCCTTTGCTTGGGTAAATCTTGAGGATATATGAATGAGTAGCTTAGCCAACCTTTCATAGTTACCAACCGTCTCACATTGTGCGGGACGGTCCCGCGTTTTAAAGTGATTTTGGGTATGGAACACATTTATCACAAGTCTATGCATGATAAATCACAAATTCAGGGGAAAATGTATTTAGCATTAGAAGAAATTTGTTTTAATAAATATATAAAAATAGTCATGCAGTAGCTTAAGTCATTTCGTTATCTCGTTTAAGAATCAATTCTCTTTCCCAACCAAATCAACCCAGCGAACCATGCAATTCGTAGAAGCTAGTAGTTGTGTGCACTCTTGCATGTTCATTGTCACAGCCAACTGTTAATTATGTGACTGGAAAACAGACCTCTGCAGGGGTTCCGCCTCTGGACTTTTTTGGTGTGAAATGAATACGTATTACTCAAATGAACAACCCATGATTTCACTAGTGAAACTACAGTATTTCACTAGTGAAACTACAACAAATTACCATAAAAATGTGTTTTTGCTTGATCATAAAGACTTACTGTCACGATCCCAACCAGGTTATTCAAGGGAGGCGTTTATTTTGGTGGTGTGAAATGGATATACAGTATATACTCAAATAATCAACCCATAATTTCACTTAGTGAAACTGCAACACATAATTACCATGTGTCATTGGTTGATCATAAAGTCTTACTGATCTCGACCATGTAAGAAAAAATGTAAATACTGGAGTAGAACATTAGTATAATATGTTGAGAATGATTTGTTTACAGTCATTTAGCAGGTGTTCATTCAAGGAAGAAATAAACCCATCAGGAGTTGTTTATTCCAAATTTAAAGCGGGGAGTTTTTTTAAAATTAAATACGTATTTTAATTCATTACAAAACATGTCTACTCTTTTTATCTAGTTGAGTATTAAAGGTGTTTTATCATAAAAATAATGCATTTTTCATACAAAGTACAGTACAGTACTCTCATGCTGCAACCTTTCCAATGTCTACTGTACATCTGGAAAAATATATACAGTATAGGCCAAGTATCATACAGTACATCAATTTTGTTTGTGTGGATTATTGTGATGCAATATACGTCACATTGTTATTTCATCATTCCCAACTCTTTTGATAAACTGAAATGTTAGTCTAATTAATGTAAATATAATAAAATATTTACTTTCTTTTTTTTTCCACTTATTCAAAATAATATTTTAAACATACAGTAAAAAAAGAAAGCAAATTACACAATTCACTTTCCTTTTTTAATTATTTTTATTTTGCATTTAACAGCCTGGAGCGAACTTACAGTCAGCTGTTTAGAGGCTGCAGATATTTGATATTTGTTGAGTGCTTGGACCTTTTTTATTTATGAGAAATAAATGCAAAATGTGGCATTATACACTGTATTTGAACTGACGAAGTTGGAGTTGACAAACGAGCACAATCAATGAGCAATCACTTAATTAATTAATTAATTATGGTAGTTCATATTAGCCAACATTATTTTTAAGTAATCATATTAATTTCATTATTTATTAAATGAAATCAAGAAAAATAACCATTTAACCATTTATTGAAAACACTGACACTCGAGGCACTGTGAATGCTTAGAGGAAGGGCAACACATGAAAATTATTTGTTTCCTGAAGTTTGTTCATCTCCATCAAAAGTTTACAAATAGTTCACCAATTCATGGTGTCTGTATACTGTATTTAGTATTAATTATTATTAGTTTTATTTGATTTCTATAATTAGTTTACTGTTCTATTGTGAGAAATTATAACAGATTATTTTAATTGTTCACTAATAATATTTTGAAATGTGATACTGTATTCAATCCAAAATAGCTTCGTATCTTGGCAATTTGTTTTCGTCCATCTCTGAAGTTTTTATACAATAACATTTGTAGGAAGCCCTAGACAGGATACTGCACGTATACAGATAACAAGTGCCTACTTGACAAATAGAATTAAATTGATATAATTATAACTGTAGAAAAGGTCAGTTCAGTGGTGTTTATATAAGGTCACCAATATAATACTATGTACTTAATTAGGGTATTACATTTTTAGCACCATATTTATTTAATTGCAAGGCTGATCCATCCATTGGTTTACTAGGCCAATCACAATGTGAGTTTGTATAGTTTGACTAAACTTCTCTCTCCGATTGAACACGTACACTATAACACCATCCCCTCTCTTTGCAACAAAAATTTAGTTTCTTCTCATTCCCTCGTTTAGAGAATTTTTTCCCAGGACCTGTGCTTCCTCCATTTGTGAGGATGATCATTTGGTAGCCTGTAGTTTATTTTGGCAAGTGTCACAATCCTGATAGTATTTACCATTTAAAGCCACTGCAGACATTCCAAAACCTGGAACTCAAAATGTACGAGACTGGAGGTGCACTGGTGGAGTGCCCCCCCATCTCCAAAATATTGGAAATCTAAGTTTTTTCATGCATGCATTTTGATCTTTCAAAGGTGTCGGTGACATTCAGAAAGCCATTGAATACCAACATTGTTGATAAAGTCAGCGCAGAAAAGAAAAATTGACACTGAAATACTCAATTATTGGTGCCAATAAGCCACTAAATTAGACGTTTTGGTTATTTGGGGGTTCTTTTCTAAAAATTTAGTAGTATTTCAAAAAATTTGAAAGTTGGAAGGTTGGAACATACAGTAGGACATTTTCGCCGCACAACGTTAAGTTACCTTAACCCAACATGCAACGCGATAGCTCCGCCCCTTTTTGTAAACAAATCAAAATACGCACTCCGCAATGCAAGATGAATAGATTATGACATCATCCGTTAACGTTTAGGTTAACGTTGTGCGGCGAAAACTACAGTACCTAGTATCTACTGTAGCACATAATATGGGGTTGAAGGTGAGCATTCTAACCACCAAAGCAATAAATAAAGCCTAATACAGTAGATTTAATTTACCATTTATTTGATGCCTTGGGGCGTTTTTGTCCAGAAGAGTTTTTATCGGGGTGTTTATTTGAGGGAGGAATTTATCTATTTATTTATTTTTAGGTTTAAAATACTCAAATAAACACCCATTAATTTTACAAAACATAATTACCATCAATATGTTTTATTCAGTGGCGGGCCGTGGAATAAATTGCAGGGTATGCTATGTATTGACATTTTTCCTGTATGATGTGCGAGGGTCACGCACGCCCCCTCCCCCTGATAAAAATACTCGCCCATCCACCGGCCACAAACCATGTAGTAAGTAGTTAAAAATCACCTGAAATCACATTATTTTGCGAGTTAGCTCCCCTCACCTAATCACCGATCCCCACTTTACCTTCCCACTCCATCAGCTCCCTTCCATTTCAAGACCCCTACGCCACTGATGCGAGGGTCTGCTAGTAGGAAAAGTTTGTAAGCCTACTACTATACAGGATCAGACTGCGCTATAGCCAAAATACAAATGTATGTTATTTTTTTAATACCGGCATGGTTGTAG